TTTAACTTCTGTGCCAAGTACATCATGTGAAATGCTAGACTGGATGAATCCCAAGCTGGAATCAAGATTGGTGGGAGAAATATCAACAACCTCAGGTATGTAGATATGGGCTTCCCCAGTGGCTTAAATGGTAAAGAATCTACCTGCAATGCAGGAGACCTGGATTTGATCCCTGGGTCAGGAAGATCCCCTGGAGAAGGAAATGGCAACCCACTCCAGTATTCTTCCCTGGCAGGCTATAGTACATGGGGTCACAAAGAGTCAGGCACAAGTGAGCGACTAACATTTTCAGATATGCAGATGATACCACTCTAAGGGCATAAAGTGAAGAGGAACTAAAGAGCATCTTGATGAAAGTGGAAGAGGAGAGTTAAAAAGCTGGCCTAAAACTCAAAATTCAAAAAACTAGGATCATAGCATCTGGTGCCATCACTTCATGGCAAATAGAAGGGGAAAAAGTAGAAGCAGTGACAGATTTTATTTCGCTGGGCTCCAGAATCACTGCAGATGGTGACTGTAGTCATTAAATTAAAAGATACTTACTCCTTGGAAAGAAAACTATGGCAAACCTAGACAGTGTGTTACAAAGCAGAGATATCGCTTTGCCAACAAAGGTCCATATAGTCAAAAAGCTATAATTTTTCCAGTACTCATATATGGGTGTGACAGTTGAACCATAAAGAAGGCTGAGTGCCAAAGAATCGATGCTTCTGAGTTGTGGTGCTGGAGAAGACTCTGGAGAGTCCCTTGGACTGCAAGAAGATCAAACCAGTCAATCTTAAGGAAATCAACCCTTAATATTTATTGAAAGGATTGATTACTGAAGCTCTAATACTTTGGCCACCTGATGTGAAGAGCTGACCCATTGGAAAAGACCCTAATGCTGGGAAAGATTGAGGGCAGGAGGAAAAGGGGGCAGCAGAATATCAGATGGTTAGATAGCATCCCCAACTCAGTGGACATGAATTTGAGTGAACTCCAGGAGATAGTGGAGGACAGAGTAGCCTGGTGTGCTACAGACTATGAGATCACAGAATTGGACATGACTTAGCGACTAAACAACAACAACAAAAATGGAGATAACATGTCCTGCCTCATGGGGGGTGTTGTGAGGTATAAATAAGATGATACACATGGAAGTGCTCTGCATATTGCCTGACACACAGTAGCATTTAATGTGTGGTTGTTGCCCTTTTTAGTGTTCCATATTAATACAAGTCTATAGTCTTGCTTTTGAATGCAATCTTGTTTTCTAAGCATATTCTGAGTGACAAGGAAAGAGGCTTGAATGGGAAAGTGATCCAGAGGGTTGGGTTGGTAGGATCTAGGGGAGAAAGAAGCTGCAGGGGAGTGGTGCTCTTGGCCATTGCAAGGAGGCCTGGACCTGAGTTTCCGTCGTACCCAGTGTATGCTGTGTGACCTTGCTCAAACTTTGTCACCACTCTAGACATTGTATTCCCTTTTGGTAAAATAAAGACTGACTTAGTTTCTTAGCAGTTTTTCTACCTCTGAGATTTTAGGTTTTCTCCTGAATTATCTGCAATGTAAATTAAACACATTGATAATTAAGAACCCCATGGGGGGAAAAAATCACAGTATTATTGAATGTGGAAGCCAGAAAATGACAACTCTACTTTGGATTAACTTTAGTTAATAAAGAGAAAACTGTGTCAGCTGTGGCCCATTCCCAAAGAAGCACCTTATTGCCAGCCCTTCATGTTCTGTCTTTACATTATTTATCTCTGCTCCAGGCAGCCACCTCTCTGGGCTCCTCCCCTCATTGGTTACCTCCATTTTCAGTACTATTTTCTCCTGAGCCATGCTGAGCCTGGCATGATTTGAGGTTGGGTTTCCACTTTGGATAACACTTAGGTTGTTGCTTAAGTGTGTTTGTGGGCCTGAGGTCCCTCAGTTTCCCATGTCTGTACTCTTCAGTCATTTTGCCTTTTTGCATGTCTTTTTCTTGGGGATGGTTTCCTGGCAGTTATGAGAATTGGACCCTAATTCCTGCTCGGTCATTAACTAGTTCTGGGATGGGGGTGTCTCCAAATCTCCATTCCCTCAGCCATACACTGGGGAGCATTGTGTCTGCCAAGTCTGCTTTATAGAGTGTTTTCAGAGCAAGTATTTGGTGAAGGAATGAAGTGAGAGAATGAATGTGAAAGCTGTTGAAAATTAGGAGTGGCATCTGAAAATAATAACTACCATTCATTGTGTGCATACTTTGTGTCTGACCCTGTGCTCAGCACTTCCATGCCTTATCTCCTGATCCTCACAACAGTCCCAGGTGGGTGCTCTTGGTCCCCTGCTCTGCAAAGGAGGAGGCTGACTTAGGCTACCTCATGCATGGCCACAGAGCTGAGTCTCAGATTTCGTCCGGGCATGGAAGTCTATGTCCTAATTGCTATACTGTCTCTGTAGAAAGCATATGTAGCAGGAATAAAGTCTGAAGAGGTAGACAGGATATACTGGAGAAGGGAAAACTAAGGCTTGGAGAAGTCAAGGAATTGCTCAGGATCACACAACTAATCTGGGGTGACTTTGGGGCTTCAGTGCCCAGAGGCCCCATCATTGCCCCCATCATTCTCATCATCATCATTGGAAACATTAAGAGCACTTACAAAGCATTTACTCTGAGAAATGCTTTCCTGCTTATAATTTCCATCCATAATAACTTCAGGAAGCAAAAAAATTAACTTGGTGAAGTAGTGTGAAATTAATCACCCCTGGGATTTTACTGACAACGAAGTTGAGGCTTAAAGATAACAAAGCAAATCAGCCTCTTACATAAAGTGAGTGAATCCAGGTTTCCTTCAGAGTCTCAGCTTTTAACCACCATGCAAAACAAGGGCAAACCACTTCTCCATTAGTAATCTGTAATAAGGAAATAGATTTCTGTGTGACTGTTATAGGAAAGCAGGGGTGGGGTTGGAGTGCAGATACGTACACCTGTCTCAAATAACCAAGTTCCTTACATAATGGGGTCATATGTAAACTGTGACTTGGTTTGATAACTCTACCATTTTGGAAGAAGAGTGGAAGTTTCAACATTTGCCGCATGCACTATGAATGATGCAGATGTCCATGCATGTCTGGTCTGGAGGGAGAAGAGCAGTAGACAGTAGTAACTAGTAACTAGTTACTAGTGAACTACTAGAACTAGTAGTTCACTAGTAACTCTGAGAAGGCATCTGTTCACAGGGTGGAACGACTTGGCTTTTGGACCGGGAGGTCCAGTGAAAGGCAGCCATGTTGGTTCTAGTTGATAGGCGGGACAATCTCCACATGGAGATAAAAGGCCTGTTAGTTTTAGGGACTTTGCTTGCTTGATTTGACCATATTAAAACAGACCTCTCTGCAAAGGGATAGATTTTGGACCATTTGCCCCATGACATATAGAACTCAGCAATTTTTGCCAGTCTGGGATTAAAAGGTTAGATATAATTGGCATAAATATTTCAGACCAAATAATGGTTTGCATCAACAGACAATATATCAGATTTGGCTTACTTATTTAAAAAAAATTACTGAGTATCTGTTATTAAATCACTGTGCCAGGTGCTGAGGTTACCACAGGAAAGGAGACAAGATTCTGGCCCCCAGAGAACTGAACTACATTACAGTGAGAGGAGGGACACACGGGCAGACTGTGAGAGTGTGAGAATGCATGGCCAGTGTGTTCAATGGGGATCGTAGCACACGTTGTGAGAATGGGTAGAAGGAACCCGTCCTAGCATTAGGTCAAACGCACATATGAGCTTATACATGTGTCCATGTGTGTTAGAGTGTGAAGGCTTCCTGTAGAAGTCATCCTAAGTAGAGAGTTAAAAGGGAATCTGAGGGTTGGCAATGGAAAGGAAGCTGGAGTGGGGGCCCTGGGCAGAGGCCTCCACAGCATCAAGAGAAGGCTGGAAACCAGAGAGCAGGCACCTCCCAGGTGGAGAAGGCTGAGCAATTCCATTCATCCAGAATGGGAAGTGAGAGGGAAGAGATGCAGCCAACCAGAATCAGAGGGGTCTTGCAAGCTTGATGCTGAAGGTGAGGGGCTGTGGGGGAGGTGTTAAAGCAGGGGACCGGTGTGGTTAGGTATGTATCTTACAAAGCCCACAGTGTGAGGAAGAATAGATTGGAGGGGGCAAGATGCAAGTTGGGGACACTTTGCAGTAATGTGAGCAAGGCACCGTGGCAGCCTGAGCTAGACTAGGGGCAGGTGGGCATCCGGGGATGGATGGTTTAGAGGGTTTGAAGGCAGTAACATCTATAGGACTTGGTGATTGACTGACTGCTTCTCACTCTGCTCATAGAGAGTTGATTTGAGGCCACTTTAATTATTTTCTCACAAGCTAGATTGTGCCCTTCAAAACAAATACAATTGATTTTTTGTTTTCAAGCACTGAGAAACATATTTTAAAGTAGCATTACATTTATTTATAATTATTAACATAAGATTTACTCCTTGCAGAAATTAGAAAAATATAAAAATACTGAAGGATATGAAATCCTCCGTCAGACTATGATTCAGGGATAATTGCTATTACATTTTGGTTATTTTTCCTTCTAGAATTTTTTCTACTATAACAGGTTTATTTTAAAATTTTCACTGTGGGAATTTTTAAATATATACAAACATAGAAGAATCAACCAAGTATACCCATCTCAGCTTGTATAACCCGTCTTTTGCTATTCTGCAGCTGAATTTTAAACTTACAAGCAGGTCTTTATATTTTCTTTTAATCTAAAACTTTCACCTCTTGTTAGAATTTTGCTTTTGCAATCCTGAGTGTTTAGCATGTGCTAGCCCCCTGACTCCTTGGCCATTTTCGGATATATGTCTTCACTCAAAACATTGAACAGGGCAGTAAAAAATGTCCAAATCCCATGAAGCCCTGAAAAACACCAGATTTCCCACCTCCTTGAGCAAGACCAGTACAGAGGGTAAATATTTCAGGGGGAGAGATCTCCCAGGCAGTAAGTAGCAGCCTGTGTTTTGACTCACTCACCATAGTTGTCTCAGCAATGGAACCGAAGCTGTTGATGAAAATGTTGCAGCTGACATTCACTGGGGGACCTGCCAATTAAAAGAGATTCCTGCTTAGCTCCATGGCCATGAAAAAAACCCCCCGGATGAGACCCATTCATGAAATGCTGAATTTGGGGATAGATCCCCTTTGGTGGAGGAGAACCTTACTTGTCCTCCACCCCACTCTCAGGCAGCAGGGACTCATAGCCACATTGTTATGCCAGCTTCCCAGGTCCCCAAGTGAGCACCAGGTACAGAACACGAGAGGCTGAGATGTACTTTCATTAGCACGGGATGATTCATCATCCTGCCATATGGTTGAAATGCCTTCCCCAAACCCCACTGGCTGCCTTCTAATTTGTGGCCGAAATGTATTTACAGCTACAACATTTGGAGGCCATCTTGGGAATTGCAAGAAACAGCAAGTTCCTTGCCTTGAACTTCTGAACCAAGAATGATTGTCTGAAAGGGCGTTGATGGGAATTACCAGCTGAGGAATCCAGAGGGAACCTCAAGGGAAGTCCATAAGTCTTTGGTAAATACTTTCCAGGCAAGCTTTTTGAATCCTACTGCAAGGGTAGGAAAGAAGAGGAGGATTATTTGCCCTTTGGCATCTCGTTGCTAGCGGGACCTCTGTGCAACTGAAGCCCAGTCTCTTTGTTTTGAACAATCAGTTACCATTCACTGAGCAGGGTTTGCTGTTGCACTGAGAGTGTTACTAATGTTATCTCATTCTATCCTCTCAGTAGCTCCATGAGAAGACACAGTTATTCCCAATATTTTACAGATGTGGAAGCAGGCTCAGAGAGGCTGTTTGTCCATGGCCACACAGCTAGTAAATGGCCAAGCCTGAGTTCAGATTGGTCGAATTCTGAAGCTAGTGGTTATAATGACTATACTTTTGGAGAGAGGTTCAGAGAAAGGAAGGGGCATGCTCAAGTTCATAATGTGGCAAAATCCAGGATTTTAAGCACCGGGTTTCCACTCATGCTGGCAAGAGGGCCAGCATAAAATAACCAGGAAATAAAGTGAGACCGTGGGTAAAAGTTATATAAGCAGTAAGAGTCCAGGTGTGAGAGAGGTTCTGAAGAGCGAGGCATTAGGGAAGCCCTTGTGATGGTGATGGTGACCTTGAGTTGACTTTGAAGGGGGTTCAGACTTGGATGATAGGTTATAATCCTTCACTTGAAGATGGCAGCATGCCATTTGTGAATTTTTTCCAGGTCTACTTTCTAGTTGATCCCCATGAGGTCCTGAGGTAGGCAGGGCAAAATTATTGTTGCTAGGTTCCTCTAGCAATGAGATTCCCAGCTTCACAGTAGAGCACGGAGAACTTCAGTAGCTCACCTGGGCTTCTGCAGCCAGCAAGTGGGGGAGCCAGGACTTGAATCCAAGTTTTCTCATACCCACTCCTCTGTTCATCTTGAAAAATTAGCCCAAGCATTTCACCCAAACTCAGCCAAGATTCTTTTCTTTTCAGAAACCCTGGGGTATAGAAAGGGACTCCATCCTGCTGCGAGAATCCAGGCTTTCCTTCCAAGGGCTTGCCAGGATCCCTGTGTTTGAGACACAGCCCCAAATTCTCACTGGCTCTTTTCTCTGAGGCAGGCCCCTTCCCTTTTCTGGGATGCAATTTCCCCATCAACTTGGGAGAGTAGATCTTGATCTGGGCAGTCATTCTCAGCTCCATGGGTTTGGAATTCCCTTATGGAAGCGCCTCAGTTGAATTACAAGGTTACTGTATAGGATTGCAGGGCTGGAGTGTTTCTGAAAGATCACCTAACCAACTGTTTCTCAAACTGAGGTGCAGACGGGGTTGTCTGCCATAGAATCATCTGGGGAACTTGTTAAACTACAGAGTCCTCAGCCCAACCCCAGATTCAGTGAACCCAAATCTGTAGGGATTAGCCCAGAGTTTATTGTTTAATGAGTGGCCTGAGTGATCCTCATGCAGAGTGGGTTTAGGAACCACTGCTACTCATTCAGGGCTTAGTGCTTGATCACCTCTAGCAGTGGAGAACTCATTTCGTCTTGAGCAGCACTTTCCATAGTTGGATAGCTCTGCCTGCTAAAAATTTTTTCCTTATGCTGAGCAGAATCTGCCTTCTTAGTCACTTTCACCAGAACAAAGGCCCATTAGGGTTCCCCACCCCCCCATTTAGACTCAGATCCAGGTTTCTCTTTTCATTTAGCCTCATACCATTAAGATGCCCCAAAGAGTTACTGCCTGTGCCTTGAAATGACGTGCACAGAGTTCCCACCCAGGCCCTGCCAGTGTCTGGTGCTGTGACTCCCATATAAATTAGATCCTGATTTATGTGTGCGAGAGGGCACCAGCCAAAAGGACCTCATGGGGAGGTGTGGTTCATTGAAATAAATCTGAAATTAAATTATCCTCAAGAAAATTACAATCTGGCTGCCTTTGGCAGCAGTGTAATGTATATATTTCATTAAATATTAAAGTTTAATTTTGGTCTTGTGTGTATGTTTGCATTGGGCTATGCCCTCGATCCTGGGAGCCATTGTGATACACAGAGTCTTTGCGAAGATACAGAATATCAAAGCTGGCAGGGCCTGGTTCTCCTGGATCATTTCACAGATGCAGGAACAGCGGCCCAGAAGTGTCAAATGATTTACTCTGGGTCACAGACATCAGGTAAGTAGTAGGAGGGTTAGAATCCAGTTTTCAAGCTTTCTATTTCAGTGTCACGATTTTCACTGCCACTGTGTTCTGCAGAGCCCACTCTCCCCAGAACCCATATCTTCAGGTGAAACTGTTGAGTGATTCATCACTCTGTGGGGTCTTCAAACAAGGCAGGCCCCTTCCTGTTGTCTTGGGGGTCATAGGGGCCTACTCTGCCTGGCCTTTACAGGAGCTCTGTAGTTTGTGGGGGGCTTTTGGGACATGTGAAAGGGGCCATGGGGCTCAGAAGCAGGAGGTACCCTACAATCAATGTTTCAGCCCTCACCACAAGGGAAAGTAGAGATCTTGCTCCTCTTCACCTGGGGTGGGGTTCCAAGAAGATGCACCTTGCTCAGAGCCCAAGTCAGGGGAGATTATAGGGGGTAGAGATAGAGCAGGGTTGGGAAAGGCCCAAGGGATTGTCTTGTCCTGTAAGTTTTGGGTCTGAGTGTTTGGAATAATGTTTTCAGGGTGGGGAGGGAAAGGTCCCTGATTCAGCGGTTATGTCCACTGCTATGTAAGTAAGTAAATAAATGAATCAGGGAGTAAGCAACTAAATAAATCACTAGCATTAGACAGAATTGAGTCAGAGCAGTTAGCTGGGTTAAAGTCCCCAGTCTTGGCAGCATGACTTGGGTAAGTCACTTAATTGTTCTACCTAGCATATTTTTAGGGTCATTTTCTCATGCGTTCATTTATGATGGGTGTACTGTGGGCCTTCTGTGTGCCAAGTACAGGGGTATGCACAAAGGATAACTAGCACATGAAACTTGGATGCCCCACGTTCAGCAGATGGACAAGACCAAGGCACTTCTACTCAGGCTGGAGTTCTGAAGGAGCCCACGAGGGGGCGCGGGGGAATGGAATTCCTGAAAACTGCGAAGCTGCAGATGCAAACTGGTGGTCGGTTTTCTCTGATGTGTTTGATCTGGCCAATGGTGTTTCCCAACAATATGGTTTAGCTGCCAACTTGGAAGATTTCACATAAACCCCCCGACTTATGTCTCATCTGGGAAGGCACGCCACCCAGGGCCTGCATTCCTACCTGGCAGGAACTGAGACCTGGCCGCCCTTAGCGGAGCCTGTGCTTTCTGGTTCTCTCCGCTTACCCCCATCCTATTTCATTCGTGTGCCGTACCTGCTGGGCCCCTCTGGGTGTTTGAGACTGTGACTCTGGTGAAGGGCTTGGGTGCTGACTCACTGTCTTTGAGGGAAGAAAGGTGGTGCTAACAATCCTGGAAGAGAATGGCCTCAGGAGTGAGGTGCTGGGGAGCAAGAGCACCTTGACATCAACAGGTGTGGGAACTGGGCCCCCAAACAAACCTCAGTGCACCTCCCAGCCTGTTTTCCATTTGCAGAGCGCTCCGAGAAGTGGACTTGGAGGGTAGGGGGTTGGGGGAGCTGATACTAGGAAACTGTTAGCAGCTGTCACATCTCTTGTTCGGTCTTGGACTTGAGCCAAAAGGAACAGCAAGGAAGGGCATCTGGAATCAAGGATTGATCAGGGGGTTGGCTGTGGGTCTTTGAAATAAGATTTTTGCAGGGGTGCTGGGAGGAAGGTCAGGGTGCACAGACTCCCAAGGAGGTCCTCAAGTCTGCACATGCAGAAACCTGCCCAGCAGTTAGAGATGGTTACAGCCTCCTGAGGCATCAGTGGATGACAGGAACTGGCCCTCTTGTTGTAAGACATAAGAGCTCAGAGGACTGTGAGCCAGAAGAAGCTTCTCAGATCACTTCATTTGTGGTTAATAAATGGGCTACCCATAGGGCATATCTGGCTCCCAAACATGTTTTGTTTGTATTTACATGTGTTAGGTTTCAGGAAGTTTCTCATAAATCTTGGTTTGTGGCTTTCCTTGGATTTTTGAATGGTCTGGCAGCACAAGACCCACAGTCCTGTAAGGTGACCAGGAGCTGGGGGGACGGAGGGATTGCCTACTTTCCAGGGGCCTGCACCACTATTATTCTATATCTGTACCACTCCCTATTATCTTACTAGGCATTTGAAATTGTGGCTCTTATTAGGTGAGAGAGTTCCAAAATTATTTGTTACTCCAGGGGAAGCTTTCAGTGGATGAACTGTAGTTAGAAGCTTCTCATATTAGACAAATAAAAGTACAGCTGCTTGGGGAAGAAGCAAGGTGGGGGACTTGCTCATCTTGTCCCCTGTTTCTCCTTTAGGACACAGGGAAGAAGACCCAGGACTCCATGAGGCACAGTTTAAAAACCACAGAGATAGCCCTCTCCATCCCTGCCCAGGCCAGGAGACTGAAACCTAGAGAAAGGAAGAGGCTTATCCAAGCTCAGAGAGTAAGTTTGTACCCGAAGCAAAACCTGAACCCATTTCTCTACATTCTTCATTCATTGCTTGTCCATTAGTAAAGCTAGCAAGTGGGTTTAGTTCCCATAGTGACACAGGCAACCAGAGATCCTGTAGAGTTGAACTCTGAAGCTTTGTTTGGCCTTGGTGAATTGACTAACAGTATCTGCCTTGGGGGCAGAGGAAAGAGTCAAGGAATTCATACTGGGTATTTACCATCTGCATACAATTCAGTGGGCTTGCTGCCACAATCTGGGAAAGGCAAGTTTATCTACCTTTGAAATTGGGCCTGATCCTGGCGTCGTATCCAGAGGTCCTCCCCATGAGTTTATCCAGGAAATCAGACGGCGACATGGGCTTGGAAGCAGACCGAGCAGCTTCAGCCTCCTTGGAAGCAGCAAGACTAGGAAAGGAGAGAGGAGGCAGATGGTTAATGAGGGCTTTTCTCACACTGAGATCATATCCCAGCCTTGCTCAGCCCAGCTCTAAGAACCACTGGAGAAATAGCTAATATGTGTCCTTAATGAGGTAAGGCCCAGGCTACCTTGTTTACCCAGCCCAGGTTTCAGCCTGCGTGGGATCCTGGCAGGCGGCTGAGAGTGTCTGGTTGATGCTAAGAAACTGCTGATTCTTTTAAGGCTGCATCTCTAAGATTTTGGGCAATCACCTTTGTCTGCTGGTTTCCCTGGGAGAGGAGACTGAAGGGTTCACTTTCCACAAGGCCCAGCCCTGTGTTTTGGGTGCCGGTACTTTCAGAGGTCCATGGAACAGTGCAGCCAGAGAGAATCTTAGAGATCAAGTAGTCCAGCCTTTTTGGGCTCCCCTAGCTGCTCGGTGGTAAAGAATCTTCCTGCCAGTGCAGGAGATGTGGGTTCGATCCCTGGGTCGGGAATATCCCCTGGAGGAGGAAATGCCCACCCACTCCAGTATTCTTGCCTGGGAAATCCCGTGGACACAGGAGCCTGGCGGGTTACAGTCTGTGGGGCTGTAAAAGAGTCGGGCACGACTGAGTGATTAAACAACAACAGTCCAGTCTTTCTCCAGAGTTTCTCGTCAGAATGAGCTACTAATTTTTTTAAAAGAAGATGCCCATGTCAAATACATTTGGGAACACAAATGGAAACAGGCATCTTTATCTTGAGTCTTTTCAGAACCTTTGACAAACTTAGATGCCTATACTTATGGGACTCTCTCAAAACACTTTCAAAAATGCTCTCTCAAAAGCACTCTCAAAAAAGTTTCAAAACACTTTCAAAAAACCGAGACAGCTAGTGAAGGAGATGTAGGTTCCAGGTAAATCAGTGGTCACTTGCCTGGATGTAGCCAGAACTGGGGGATTTGAAATCAAACTGGGGATGCTTCACATTGTTTCTGTCACCTTCCCCCCACAACAAAGTAGTTTTAGGTGTTCCTTTGTACCATAGTATGTAGTACAAATGGCTGAGGTCTAAGAACAGGGGCCCTTGCCCTGCCATACTCTCTTAGGCATGCACATTTCTAGAACAGTCAAGATTGGGAGCTGAAGGGTTGACAATCAATTATTTCTGTTACTTTGGGTGACTGAGCTTCCCTGACCTGAAATGATTGCATCCAGGAGATATCTAGAAGCTGGTGCAGCCCCACTGTGTGTGCTCTGGGGCTTGTATGCTGGAGGAGGTGCATGTATAGAGATGTACGTGGGTGTTGCAAAAAATGGGAGCTTCTGTCACCTGGCCAAGTAGGACGTGGTGTTCCCCAAGGATTTGCGCTGTTTGCCGTGACTCCTTTCCTGATGTCAGAGTTGTCACTGTCTAAGTGATCCCCTCTAATGGATGGCCCTCATATCTCTGTCTCCACCCTGTCTTTTCCCATAGGCCCCCTTTCTTCATTTGCAGACACCTGGGGCACATGTCCATTTGGGTGTCCTGCCAAGCCATGCCTCAAGTTCATTCCAGACCAGATGCTGCAGCTTCCTTCCCAAACTTCCTTCCCAAAGTTGCCCTGGTGGTACTGACGTCCCCCCGTTCTCTCGGACCAGGTGCTTCAGGACTGTCTTGTCTCCGTGTCCCTTCTCCTGCCACGTCCCCTCACTCACTGGGGCCTTTCCAGTCATGCAGGGGTCATGACTCTGCTGTCTTGTTGGAAGTTACTTGTGTTTGTGTTCTGAGACCAGCAATTGTGGTGGGTTGCCTTTATTGTTTGTTTATTTAATCCTCTACTGTGTCTACCATGGTGTGTCTCACACATACTTGGTGCTCAATAATTGCTGAATGAATGAAATAATATTTTAATTAATTAGTCAAATATCTTGGTCAGTAGGAAGTATTCAGAAATATTCATATATGGCAATTTTAAAATAAGTAGACTATTATACTCACTAATGAAAAATAGTGAAAATAATCAGTTGTTCCTTTGAAGTTTCAGAAAATTTTCTAGGATGGTTGCACTCATGCTTAGTAATCTGAAGATTCCTTATTCATATCCTAAAGGGATCTTTTTTAAGAAATTTCTTAATTGAAGAATAATTGCTTTACAGAATTTTGTGGTTTTCTGTCATACCTCAACAGGAATCAGCCATAGGTATACCCATGTCCCCTCCCTCCCGGACCTCCCTCCCATCTCCCTCCTCATCCCACTATACAGCCTGTCACAGAGCCCCTGTTTGAGTTCCCTGAGAAACATAGCAAATTCCCATTGGCTGTATGTTTTATATATGGTTTGTAAATTTCTGTGTTACTGTCTCCATACATCTCCCCTTCTCCCTCCATACATCTCCCCCGTATATCCCTCCTCCCGCCATGTACATAAGTCTGTTCTCTATGTCTGATTCTCCATTGCTGCCCTGAAAATAAATTCATCAGTGCCATCGCTTTTTTTCTTTTTAGTGCCATCTCTTTAGATTCCATATATATGGGTCAGTATATGATATTTACATTTCTCTTTCTGACTTACTTCTCTCCATTTAATAGGCTCTAGCTTCTTCTACCTCATTAGAACGGATTCAAATGCCTTCCTTTTTTTTTTTTTTTTGCAAATGTCCATTGCAATTTTATTCATAAGCTAAAACTGTAAACAACCCAAGGGCTCATCAGCTCGTGAAAGGATAAAAACTGTGGTAAATTCCCACAACAGAGTGTGACTCTGCCATGGAAGGACAGTGTTATTGATACATGCAATGATGTGTATCAATCTCAAAAGTTTTATGCTACGTGTAAGAAGGCAGACATGGGACCATATACATTGTATAATTACATAATGCATAGTAATGGGAAGTTCTGGAAAAGGCTTAAAACTATAAGGTCAGGAAATAGATCAATGATTGGTGGAGTGGGGAACCAGGGGTTGGGGGTGATTGACTACAAAGGGACACAAGGGAACTTTGGAAGTAATGGAAATGTTCTATATGTCTTGATTGCTTAGAGGTTACATGACTATATATGTTTGTCAGAACTCTTCAAATTATACATTAAAAGGAGTGAATTTTATCACATATAAATTATACTTTAATATACCTGACCAAGGGGGAAAGAAAAAGAGAAAGAATTGACTGCCTACTCTCACCCCATGGCTGCCATGATGAAACTGCATATCAATGGGCTCGAGTTCCCACTGGGTAGCTTTTCCCTCACTTATGGATATTAGGAAAGGCCATTAAAATGTCCTCCTTCATTGTCAAATGCCTTCCTTTTTATGGCTGAGTAGTTTTCCATTGTATACATGTACCACAGCTTCTTTATCCATTCATCTGTTGATGGACATCTAGGCTGTAAAGGGCTTGTTTTGATGGAAAGAATAAGGAACAATGCATTATACTGTTTTTACAAGTGTGAGTATGAATGTGAGTTTGTCTGATGTGGGTAGGTTTCTAGGTGTGATGAATATGCATGTTTTGTTTATAAATGAATGGATGTGGGTGGATGTGTGGGGACTAGGGTGTATATGAGGGCGTTTGTGGATATAGAGAGGATTGTGTTATATAGAAATGCTGTACAGAGAAACGCAGGGCTGGATGAAGCACAAGCTGGAATCAAGATTGCCAAGAGAAATATTAATAGCCTCAGATATGCAGATGGCACAACTCTTATGCCAGAAAGTGAAGAAGAGCTAAAGAGCCTCTTGATGAAAGTGAAAGAGGAGAGTGAAAAAGTTGGCTTAAAACTTAACATTCAGAAAACTAAGATCATGGCATCTGGTCCCATCACTTCATGGAAAAAAGATGGGGAAACAGTGATAGACTTTATTTTGGGGGGCTTCAAAAATCACTGCAGATGGTGACTGCAGCCACAAAATTAAAAGATGCTTACTCCTTGGAAGAAAAGTTATGACCAACCTAGAAATAGCATATTTAAAAGCAGAGACATGACTTTGCCAACAAAGGTCCATCTAGTTAAGGCTATGGTTTTTCCAGTAGTCATGTATGGATGTAAGATTTGGACTATAAAGAAGGCTGAGCACCAAAGAATTGATGCTTTGGAACTGTGGTGTTGGGTGTTGGAGAAGACTCTTGAGAATCCCTTGGACTGCAAGGAGATCAAACCAGTCTATCCTAAAGGAAATCAGTCCTGAATATTCATTGGAAGGACTGATATTGAAGCTGAAACTCCAATACTTTGGCCACCTGATGTGAAGAACTGACTCACTGGAAAAGACCCTGATGCTGGGAAAGATTGAAGGAGGGAGGAGGAGGGGACAACAGAGGATGAGATGATTGGGTGGCATCACTGACTCAATGGACATGAGTTTGAGTAAATTCTGGGAGTTGGTGATGGACAGGGAGGCCTGGCATGCTGCAGTCTGTGTGGCCACAAAGAGTCGGACACAACTGAGTGACTGAACTGAACTGAACTGTGTTACATAGATTTGGATATGCAAAAATATGAAGACCTGTGTTCCTGTCAAAGTGTGTTGTTAAGAGTGATGTTTAGTATGGGCATTTTTGTGTGTCCATATGGCATGTATGTAGACATGGGGTACAGGGTGTGACAATGTCAAATGCCTTTGTGGCTGTATGTGTTCAGTGTATATATTGTATGTGTGTGTTACTGAAATGTACTGTCACATGTGATATAGAATGGTTCATAAAGAGTGAAAAGAACAGATGATTTGGAATCAATCCTGTCTCAGTCATTTACTGGCTGTGTGACCATGGGAACATTACCTAACTTCTCTGAACTGCAGTTGCCTGATGTATCAAAAGAAGTTTTGCACAAGGAGTCACTGAGATAGCACAGGTAAAAAAATGTCAAAGATGGTTCTCAGTTCATAGCCGGCACTCAGTCTACTGTCTTGCTTTTCCATTACCGTGTGTGTGTGGGGGGGCGCAGTTGAGAGTCAGTCTGGAGTTTCTCCTGGTCTCACTGCTGCTTTCAGCTGCACTGTGGCCCCTGCATGACTGGGAAGTCCTGCCGAGTGCCTTCCATGGCC